GCGGGGGCCAATCTGCACCGCCCCCCCCCCCATAGCTAGCAATCCAAAATAGTCCAGTGGAGCCTGAGCGGTGGGTGTTGCCTTCTGACACACTTCGAATGATGTCAGGGGGTGTGGCATATGCCGATAAGTTATGCTAATGAGGTCCTGCACCTCTTTTTCTACAAAACGACCCCTGCGTACCACACATTTTTTTAGATTCGGCTGTCTCTTGTCCACTCTCTCCTATCATAAGCACCCTAAGAAGCCAAGCTGCTCTTACCTTTAGGTGGGTCTTCCTAATTTTTTAGCATAAAAAATGTATTCTCACACATTCTCTATGACCCTTCCACTAAAACTATGGCTAATAAGCCAGCCTCCAATTCCTCTTGTAAAATCCTGGATTGCTTCACATTCCTACCTATAATGGATTGCTTTTTCTGATTTTGGGAGCGAGCTCCATAATCAGTAGGAAACGTAGCACGGACAGGGTCCAGCCTTCTCATAAGAACATAAGAGACGCCAATGTTGGATCAGGCCAGTGGCCCATCCAGTCCAACACTCTGTGTCACACAGTGGCCAGAAATACCAGGGGCCATCAGGAGGTCCAGCAGTGGTGCCAGGACACTAGAAGCCCTCCCACTGTTGCCCCCCCCATTTGGGAGCGAGCTCCATGATCAGTAGGAAACTTAGCACGGACAGGGTCCAGCCTTCTCATAAGAACATAAGAGACGCCAATGTTGGATCAGGCCAGTGGCCCATCCAGTCCAACACTGTGTCACACAGTGGCCAGAAATACCAGGGGCCATCAGGAGGTCCAGCAGTGGGGCCAGGACACTAGAAGCCCTCCCACTGTTGACTCCCGCAAGAAGACAGAGCATCACTTGCCCCAGAGCCCCTATCTATACCTTGTGGCCAGTGCTCCCTCTAAGCTGTGGAGTCTTGTGAGCAACAGTTCTACTCTGTGAGCTCCTGGCATTAAAGTTGTGAGCGAGCGATTTGGCTGCTGCATAAATTAGTTTGCTCTGGAGCCATCCTTCCTGAGCTGAGACAAAAATGTGTGGGCCGGAGGCTAAAAAACTGTAAGCTAGCTCACACTAACTCAGCTTAGAGGGAACACTGGTTGAAGCTCATTTTCTTAGAGACTCAGTTCTTAACTGTGAGAGGTTTGTTCATCTTGGAGATTTCTTTCAGCAACAATATGTCTTGACAGTTTCGCAAAACTATTTGGTTCCTGGAAGTTAGTACTTTCTTCCTGTATTTAAATCATTCCCTTGTGGGGCTATAACTTTCCCTGTTATACTCTTGAGGAGTCTAAGACCGTTTCCCTTTTCACACAAACCAGGGGTCCCTTCTGAGTTGAACCCTCTGAATAACTGGGTAAGGAATATCCTCCTCTTCCTAGGAGGGATAACCCTTTTCCGTTTGGCTAGACTGTCAGTTTTCAACCTCCTGTCCAGTCTCTTCTGTCAAACCGAAACTCCGGTTCTGGAGACTGTGAGTAAACGGAATTCAGCAAGTGCTGACACTTAGACGTTGAGTTCTGATCTCTGAACTTGTCCTCAGGGGCAAAGAGTTGTGTCCTTTTCCTTCTCAAGTGACTTGTCTGTTCCCCTCAGACTGACACACACACTCCTCCTGACTGGCAACTGCCAAGCCAAAGTCCAAAGGGTGACTGACTCCCTCTGACCAGACTGGATAGACTTGATAAAGCTCTCCACAGATGGCGCTGGCCAAAGAGAAGGGGGTGCATGCAGGCAGTAGCCTGTCAATCAAACTGTGCTTTACAGTGAGGCATCTATATATCTAATAGCCAAGACGCCCCCTGTGTGCGGATATCTAAATCCGCACATTGGGGGCACCTGGGGGGCAGGGAGATTTTCCTGCACATTTGAGGCAATCCCTGGATGTGCAGAAAAATCTAAAAATTGTAAAAAAAACTATGGGGGGATACTTAAATCCCCCCAAAAGTAAACGAGTGTTCCCTGTGCATGCACAGGGAATGCTCGGAGAAGGTTTGGCGGGCCTTGCCACTGCTGGGGAGGTAAGATTGGCGGGCCAGCCTTGCCTCCGCCGCTGCTGGGGAGGGAGGAGAAAGCTTGGCGGATGGGCTGGCCTCGCCGCTGGGGAGGAAGGGGGGAAGGTGAACGCTTGGTGGGCCGGCCTCGCCTCTGCCACTGGGGGGAGGGAGGGGGGAGAGAGAAGGCTGGGCTCACCTGCTGCCACGTGTCCTGCTTCTGCAGGCCGGGAGCTGTGAGGCCCCCCCCGAATATCGTGGGTCCCGCCTCTTGTTAACCCCTAATCTCCCAGCTCTCTGAATTGGATGCACTCAGCATCCCGGTTTTGGAGGTCAGTCCATCACATAAGATTACAGGGAAGGAGAGCATTTTAGTCACCCCACTGCCCAACTCACCAACTGGCACCAAAGGACTCTTCTGTGCCTTTTGTAGAAGTTTGGTGCCGACCGTGCTTTCACGCTCTGGACTCCAACCGTCATTGTCCGTTGACATTTGGAAGCTGAAGAAATGGATTTCCACATACACAGTCTTAAATAAAAGTGTTTGGATCTCACTGACAAGCATAGCAAATTCATGAAGATACCTTTGCCAAAATGTAATCCGCACAGTACCCTTATATCAGGGGTCATTTCGTAGAAAAAGAGGTGCAGGATAACTCATAACTCATTAGCATGATCTATTTGCATATGCCACACCCCCTGACATCACCTGAAGTGTGTCAGAAGGCAACATCCACCGCTCAGGCTCCACTGGACTGTTTTAAATAGCTAGGTATTGGGGGGGGGGACGTGCAGATCTGTCCTCGCAGAGGAGGGAGAGCTTGTACCTGAATATAACTTGGTCTTAG